AGGTACCAAAATAGTTTTTTGCGGGGTCCGAACCCCTTCAAGTTCGGGCCCCGTTCGGGGACCCGAACGCCCGAACGTTCGGGGGTCAGCTTAGGGGCCTCCGTACGTTCGGCCTGGCAACCCTGTATATATATATATATCGTCAAATAGAACTGCCCGGTGAACCGTAGGCAGAGAGGGAGAAGAGGACAACAAACGAGGGGCTGTGACAAACTGTTTCGTCGGAGTTTCACATATATATATATATATCGTCACAAACAGAACTGCCCGGTAAACCGTTGGCAGAGAGAGAGAAGAGGACAACAAACGAGGGGCTATTTGACGATATATATACAATATATATAGATATTCTTCTCCCTCTCTGCCTACAGTTTACCGTGCAACTCGGTTTGATGATACATATGCATATAAAAAGATAGATTGTACGGTTCTCTACCACCGTCATAACTTCACTCAGGACTGACACGGGAGATTCCTGTTCCAACCTGGAAATCTTTTTTTTTCCTTTAACAAGCTTCACTTACTAGGCGGGGTGATATGAGCAGCCTCCCCTAGTAAGGACGCGGGTTGCTCCCTTCCATTGGTGGGGAGCTACACCTGCTGGGAATCGGGCCCAGCGTCCCACGATAGAATGAAGATATTGGGATCCCACCCCGGCATTGATTGCCCCTGGAAAGTGAAGGCTTAACTGGGGGGCTGATGGGAGTGAAAATCAGGTTGCTTCTTCATCCCTGCTACTGGGCACCTCTTTTCTGCTTTTTTTGCTAGCCCCTTTTTGCTCACTCTTGTTGTAGCTTGTTGCAGCCGGTTTGACTGTGTTTCTGACAGATTCTGTGGGATCTGATCCCTCCCTCCTTGAACCCTAACCTAGACCCTCTTCTAGATCTCTTGCCCTGCTGGTCCGACCGCAGTAAGACTGCAGCCCCCGCCCCTCCTTCCCTAAAAGTTTTGCTGGATTTTTATCCTCTATGGACTGGAGGGGGGGGGGGGGGGTTGGAGGGCCCTGAATTTTTGTCTCTCTGGAACTCCACACTCACCTTCCCCCAAATCCTTGGCACACCCCATCCATGCACTTTCTGGGCTCTTCCGCCTTTTAATCCAACTGCGAAGGAGAGCAGCGCAGGACACGAGGTTGTTCGTCACCTCCCCCCTCCTCCCATGCCACGCACACCCACATGTCCAAACCCTTCCCCCCTGCCCTGGGACCCACACGTACACACACAGCAGGTCCCCCCATATGTACAACCCCAGCCCCCCCTTCCTCTTGTCCCCACCAACACCCCGAATCACAGACATTGTTGAGAGAGATAGGG